AATTTGAAATGCTGCCAACAAATCTCGGCCACTCGCTCAAAATGCTAAAAGAAGAGTATGAGACTAAACGTCTGTCCTTCGAAGAGAAGAAAACCTTCTGCAAAAACCTCTCTCATGAGTATGATAAGCTCACCGAAGTTGCTTGTCAAGCATAGTCTACACTCGATGAACTGGAACTTTTCATCGGCAATCCTTTCCACATTGATCCTAATACCGCCAAAACTAAGGCCTAAGCAGATATAGACTTGTAAGTTACTAATCTGAAGATGAAGGTCAACAGAAACCAATACACTACTCACTCGGACTTACTCGTCGATCTTTAAAGAGAGGTCACATCCCTCTCATGCTAGATCAAGGAGCTTGAGTAATAGGAACTCAAAATTGAGTCTAAGATAAAGAGAACTCTATTAGCCAACGCCACCTATGCTCAAAAACAAAAGTTTGAACACCTTCAAGAGTTAGAGTAATTAGGTAAGGATTTATCTCACGGGTCCTTAGACCCTCCTCCTGAGGTCAAGAACCTTATCGAATACAGGAGAATCTGTATGAAATTTGATGAGAAACTACTCATCCCTTTCAAGGCCAAGATACTGATGGGCCAGCCTCTTTCAGACTGGGACCTAGACCAACTTAAGATACAACAAAATGGCTTAGATGAAAGAAGGAAAAAACACAAGAAACCTCGCTACAGGAAAACCCTTCAGAGACCACCTCCATAATAGTCTAGCCCTAAGTAAAAGCAGGCGACACCTCAGAGACCTAAAGGAATCCTCAAGAAGGTTACCTTCGTGGAGGAAGAACAAAAGTCACCTCCTCCTAAACCTGTTCAATCTTAATTTCAATAAGAAATTTTACCAAAACCACCATCTTTATCTTATCTTTTAGGCAAGAAACACCCGGGCTTCATGCCCAAGAAAGTATAGGTCACCCCCTAACCAAAAGAAATAGCCTTGCCTCCCTCTTTGAACAAGACAAGCATATTTGATATCATTGAAGAAGAGGAGAAATCTAAGAAACCTTTGCTTATTCACGTCGAGGATCAAGAAGAGAAACCTTAAGGACTCATTCCTGACCACGCTGAAGACTAGAAGGAATTACCTCCGGAACTCTAGGCCCTAATTAACGAGAACATTCACTTACAAGAGTTTTTCTTTGATTCACCTCTTAAGATCGAACAGTTCGAAGAGAGTATCCCGGAACACCTCAAGGCAGCCCTTCTTTTCATTGATGAAGACTCCACTGTCCCTGACAGTAATCCAGACCAGGATGAAGTACAGCAAGAAGATGTAGTACAGCAAGAAAACGTAGTACAGTAAGAAGAGGCAGTACAGCAAGAAGATGCAGAGATATCTTCGGAGTTTACTACCTTTAGGACAACTATAGAGGAATCTAACTAGAGAGTTATCTCTCAAGCTGTCAACCACATTGAACCTCTCCATCCTAATATAGTAAGAAAATTTTTCATGGATGACTAAAGACTAGCATCTATCATCCAAATAGAAGATTTTAAAGATTAAGAGGCTGCTTTTCAATGGTAAAAAGACCTTGGTCCAAGGATTTAGGATTAAGGTTCTGATAAAACCAAGGAACCCGTCACAGAACTTCTTACCGAAGTCTTCAAAAGGGTCAATACCTTTCCCCCTCCAGTACAGATGTAATTAGGAAGGTTCCTACATTAGATACTTGTATTATCACATCGACATGACTCTTAATAAGCCTTGTCTTTTGCTACTGATACTCTAAAACTGTTAGGCTTTGAATCCTCTGTTATTACTAACTAGTTACGAACTTTTAGCTTCAAGCATCTAGTGTTTGACTAGAATTCCATACGTCTCCCCACAGAAACTATCAGTATTTTTCTAGATGAAATTATGATTAGAGCCAACACTCCCTCCTCCAACTCTGCTTAGTGGATTGAGGATAAAATTATCGCTTTGACGACCTACTTCCTACTTACCAGAATTACACTGCTTAATTTCTGGGATCTATAGGTCTTCGAAAGCTAAAAGGAATAAGTGCTGTCTAGAGAAAGGATCCTTGCTTTGCATGACCTCGCCTCTAGAGTCCTCCAACCATCTATACTATAAGTCAATATTCCTTATGAGAAAGTTAGAGCTATTAGCATTTCAGTTATGAATCTCTTCTACGCTTACTATACTGACTAACTTATTTTTATGGAAAAGCTGATTGATGATCAATAACCTCCTGTTCACTCTATTTTAAAACTTCTGAATGTAATCGAATTGGAAAAAGATTCTACGCTCATGATCCTCATTGACAACACCTCAGCTGCATAGTCATTCAGAGACGCTTTCTTCCTAGGCTTCCATGATTTCTAAATGCTTCCTACTTTTGTAAGAATGATCGAACAACACATTGAAGTCTACGTGATTCCTATCGAGGTGGATCCCCCTGATGAAATCATGAATTAAATCAAAAGATTGGTCCCTAATTTCTAACAAGAAGATTGGACAGTCTTTGAACATAAACTCTTTAGCTTTTGCTAACTCCCTAATCTGCTATAGAAAGACTTCATCATAAACTATGCAGATAGTTCTAAATAATTACATGAAATTTGGCCAAAAGAACTTACTGAGGATACCATGGACATTGAAATAAAGAAAATTTAAAATTATAATAATAATAAGAGGAGTTTTAATTAAGGAGACTTCAAATATTAGGTGACTGACAAAAAGCACTTCACCAAAATTTACACCTACCCAAAGCAAATTCACACAGAAGTAGATTATAAAAGGGTAGAAGAATTATAATAAATAAATTAGAAAAAAGTGCGATAGCCCTGCCTGGACCTATAAGAATAATAGGTCCGTGGCCGTCCACAGCCATCACAACTGAGAGAGTCTAGTAAAGGAAAGCACAAAGAGAGAGAGACCTCAAGTAATAGGGTCAAAGAGATGCTCAGTAGTGCGATATCGATGGTCACTGGTGCATGGCGGTAGCCCAGTTGAGACCCCCCTACACGCAATTATTTTTATTGTTATAAAAATCATAATAATTTAATTTCACTAAACGTTACAAGGTTCAAAAGGTTTTGGGGTTTTGGGGTTTTGGGG